AATGGTCATTCGTGTCTTTGACAGTCTAGAAATTTCTTTGCAGTCTAGAAATTTTTACAGCATGGCCCTAAAACTTTACTTCGTAAGTACATAGTCTGTACTTTTTCCATATCCTTCAATTCAAGGAAGCTCTGATTTCAGTAATCTCTGCTTATCCAGAGCACCATCTCCTTCCTCTCCGCTCTTAGTAATGATCTCGAATCCTCCTCCACTGAAAACACAGAAGCTCTCTTTCTTAGGCTCCCTCATCTTTTCATCACTCCATCCAAACATATCTGATTCTATAACTATCTTTATTTTTCTTCCTGGCTTATAGAAGAAAGGCTTTTTGGTCTTTAATTGAATCCCTTTGCTTAAGTACCTGGTTCCATCCCTCCTTGTCTCCTCTGGTACCTGGTTTGGTGCCTGGCAAGCAGCTGATGCTCAGAAACTTTGTTGAATGAGTAATGGGTCTTGCTCCATCCATGCTCTCCCTTTTACCTTTTTAGAGCTTCTCTCACTCTTTTGGCTCTGTCAACAAAAAAAATCATAAAATCCATAAGTTCAGAGATGAGAACTTTATTTCTTATAAAGGGTAGCAGCCTGGCAGCCGGCTGCCATCCTGACAGACTGGGAAGGATAGCCTCTGGCAGAGACCTAAAGCTAGCCACTTGGAAGGAAAAGGGATGAGAGAAATTTATGCTGAATCGGTTGGCCAAGTATATATATTCAACAGGTTATAGGAGGATCTATGAATATCCACAAAGGGAGGATATGTGCATGCACAGTAAGCAAAGACATGCATATTGCATGTGTCCCATGTTCACTCTGAGGTGGAGACTTAACATTTAAACATACTACAATTAGGCCCTATACATTAGAAGGTGAAGCAGGAACACAAAGGCATTTAGTGCACAGCCTCTGTAAACTGGCCAGAACCAGTCCATAGTTGGTGATCTCTTAACAGAAGAGTTACTGAAATCAGTCTCTAGTCCAATCAAAGCTGTAGTTATGGCTGTGGAATAGGAGTAGAGTTAGCATTTAGCAGTGGGTGAACTGCATTTGTCTTAATATTGCTTATCTTGAGGCCAGTGCTTATTTAGCAGCTAGAAAAAAAGAAAAAACTTTCTAGCAGTTAGGAAATAGTTTATTCTTTAAGTATAGGGGGTGCATGACTTGCCTGGGATAGCCTTAAATCTTGTTTATTTTTGGTTTCTTATTGGCACAAAGAGTCTGTTCGGTTCCATCAGGCTTATGATCTTTATTTCAACAGCTCCTTTCTCTTAGCCTATATGTGATCAAGTCATTTCCCATCTGTGAAGGTTGGTTTTTCTGTCAAGTTGGTTAGGCTATAGTGCCTAACCCTTAGCCTACATGTGATCAAGTCATTTCCCATCTGTGAAGGTTGGTTTTTTGTGTCAACTTGGTTAGGCTATAGTGCCCAGTTATTCAACCAAACATTAACCTAGGTGTTGCTGTGAAGGTATTCTGTAGAAGTGATTAACATCCACAATCAGTTGACATTATGTAAAGGTAATGCGGATTACCTTTGATTCAGTTACCCGAAAGGCCCTAAGAAAATAACTTAGGTTTCCCTGAAGACATAAAGGAAAAAGAAGAAACTCTACCTGTGGATTGTGGCTTCAGCTCCTTCCTGAGAGTTTCCAGGCTGCCTTATGGATTTTGAACTTTTTTATCCAGCTCCCAAAATTGTATAAACTAATGTCAATAATTCCCTTTATATATCCTACTGGTTCTGTTTAACTGGTGGAATCCTTACTGGTACATTATCTTTAAAATCAGCATAAAACGACACTCTTCTTGATCCTGCTTCTCTCTGTCACCATATAAACTATTTTCCCTTCTCACCTAAGCTTATAAAAGCATTATCCTACATTCACTGTTATTACTTCATCACTTTGCAATCACCTTTGAGCTACAGTACCATTTATTCAACTGGTGAATTGGACATTTTCTTGCAGACAGCCCATAGGCAATCTCAAACTCAGTATATCAAAGCTGTCTCATTATCCCTGCTGCCTGTTTATATCAGTTCTTCTGAATGCCATATTTCAAATTAAGAGTGAAAATCTGGAAGTCATTCTAGACATATAGATATCTAAATACAGGTTGAGCATCCCTAATCTGAAAATCTAGAATATGAAATGCTCCAAATCTGAAACTCGAGTTCCTATCCTACATGATGCCACAAGTTACCCTGAACACATTATTTTTCACTGTATTAATGGCATATCATAGTTTTTACTGTTAAGTACTTATGTGTGAATAAATAAAAGAAAATTATTTCTTATCAGTAGCATAATTTTAGAGTCAGGAATAATGATGATGCCAAACAACCACAGACTATCCACACAGATGGCTGAGATAATGACACCTTTGATTTCTGATGGTTCAATGTACACAAACTTTGTTTCATGCACAAAATTATGAAAAATATTATGTAGAATTACCTTCAGGCTATGTGCTTAAGATATATATGAAATATAAATGAATTTTGTATTTAGACTTGGGTACTGTTCCCAAGATATCTTAAGTATATACGCAAATATCCCAGAGTCAAAAAATCAGAAATGCAAAACACTTATGTTCTCAAGTATTTTGGATAAGGGGTACTCAATCAGTACTAGACATCAGATAAGTCATACTCTTTATCTCTAGTGCTTGAAGGTTTAGGCTTTCATCATTTCTGGCCTCAGCTTTTGTAATAGACTCCTATCTTGTCTCCTTACGCCCAACCTCTTCCCACCAAAATCTATTCTCCAGAGTGCTGTTCCTTTGATGCAAGGTGACCAAAATTGCCCCACCTAAGGCTCAATGAGTGGCTCCTTTATCAACTATAGTAAGGGCACCTCAAGTCAGACTAGCATCATAAGGACCTTTTAAAAACCACAGATTACAGCCCTACTCAGAACTAATGAATAAGAATTTCAAAAGTGGGAACTGAAAATCTCTACTTTTAAAAGCTATCCAAGTAACTCTGATAATCAACCAGGTGTGGGAACCACCAGTCTTCAGGTAAAAAAATCCAAATTCTTCCCATGATTTGACACCAGTATTCACAGCTTCACCTCTCAGCACACATTACTGACCTAGGGCTGGTGATTTCTTCAAATTCATGCTGTTTAACACTTCTGTCAGGAATATCCTTCTTCTCTTAACTGCCTGGGAAGTTCCTATTCACCTTTTGAAAATTTTGTTAAAGCATCATCCAACCTCTTATTCAGCCAGTAAATATCTATTGAGGTCCTACTAGATGCCAGGCTCTGAACTAAGCATTGAGATAGAAACACAAGTCAGCTGTATCAGTAGTACTGCTTCTAGTAGGTTCACATACCATCAGAGGAAGAGACATAGAAATACACAAATAAATATAATACAGTGAGATAAATTCTATGAGAGAGGCTGTGGTAGGTTGAATAATGCCCCCCAAAGATGTTCACATCCTAATTTCCAGAATCTGTGAATATTTTACCTTACATTGTGAGGGATTTTGTAGATATGATTAAGTTAGCCATTCTGAGATGGAGCAATTATCCTGATTACCTTCATGGGCACAATGTAATCACAAGGGTGTTTTGAAGAGGGAGGGAGGCAGGAGGGTGAGAGAGAAAGGTGTGGGGAGATCGAAATGTGCTATGCTACTGACTTTGAAGGTGGAGGATGGGGACATGAGCCAAGGAACAAAGGCAGCCTCTAGAAGCCAAAAAAGGAAAGGAAATGAATTATTCCCCTAGAGCCTCCAGAAGAAACCAGACTGCCAACTTTAGTCCAATGAGATTGATTTTGGACTTCTGACCTCCAGAAATGTAAGATAACTTTACCTGGTTTCATTCATGCTATCAAGTTTGCTGTAATTCATTGCAGCAGCAGTAGGAAACTAACACATAGACCAACATGGAGCATGGGCAATACATTAAAGGGGTCTCTACAACAAGTTATGGAGTGAGGATGGGGTGTTTAAGAAGAATTACCAAATTTGATGACCCCAGAGCTGAAGAATGGAGATTGTGTTTCAGAGGATGATCCAGATAGAGGAAGCAGTATGTACAAAGGCACACAAAAAAGAGCATGGAAAGTATTTCAAGAAGGCAAGACTGCTTGCATTTAATAGTAGTAATAATATCAACAATAATAATTATAGTAAATTTTTATTGTTCTTATGACATTATTCTTACCTCGTGAGGTAGATACTATTATTGTCATCTTCATTTTACATATAGCAATACTAAGGTCTGGAGGAGGCAAGTAGCTTTCCTGAGATCATTGAGCTAACATTAATAATCGTAAACGGGTAGAGTTAGAATCAGAACCTTGGCAGTCTGTTTCCAAAACCCACTAACTGCTTCTCTAAGCCATTATGGTGGTGGCCTTTAAGTAACGGGGCATCATTGTGGCTGACGATAAATGAACTGTTAGATATTAATGAAATAAGGATCAACAGAACTTGGAATATCATCTTGGGTACTGACGGAGGATGGGAGTGATGGACAGTCAGAGGATTTCCATGTTTCTTTGACATGATCTTGGTTTTGCTGTTGTTCAAGATATGAAGAAGCCTTCTTCGACTACTCAAAGTAAATCACATTTTCTTCGTTACAAATTCCACACCTTGTATAAGCCTCTTTATTTCATTTCTTCCGTTTCCTCTTTGTCTGACGTGGAGTTAGGGATGTAGGCACCAACTCAACTCTGGGCCTCAAGTTTCCTTATCTGTAAAATGCCCCGAGGTAGTTCCAAATTTGGTTGTTCCTCTGCATCCCCTATGGGGAAGCTTAACCAACATGCAGATCCTCATCCCATTCCCAGAGATTCCGACTAATACCGGGATTGGGTTTTCCCCCAGCACTCTCCTGGCTGATTCTGATACGTCATCGCTAAGTTTTGACAACCAGGAGACGGACAATTATCCGGGTCCCTCCCAGGCCACTGCACTGTATTTGGTCGCAGGACTCCGCGCTCTCCTACGGCCCCGCCCCGCCCCTCCGAGATGCTCTCCTCCCGCCCGGCTGCCGGCCCCGCCCCGGTCCCGCCCCGTGCCCTTCCTCGCGCATCTCATCGCCCCGCCTTCGGCCGCTTGATTCTCGCCCAGCTCCGCCTTTCCTAGGCCCTCCTCCGCTTCGCAAGATGGCGGAGGTGCCGCTGGGCCTGGAGCCGTGGAACCGCGTGAGGATCCCTAAGGCCGGGAGCCGCAGCGCAGTGACAGTGAAGAACGGCGGAGCGGCCCTGGGTGAGTGAGGCGCCAGGCCAGTGGGGCAGACGTTTCCGGAGGAGGCCCGTAGCTGGGCCGGCGCACGTGGGGCGAGGGCGGGACTTCCTGAGTTCGGGGGATGCTGGGAAGGGGCGCAGGGCGCGGGGCGCGGGGCGCGATGGGGCCGAGAGGGGCCCAGGGCTGGCTAGTTTGCCAGAGAACCTGGTAGCGCTACTTGCTTCTCAGTCCTTCACTGCACTCGCTGTGCCAACGCAGGGCTTGGCTTGAGCAATGAAAGACCGAGGCTGAGCCCCGCGCCAAAGGGGCGGAGAGAGGCAGATGCGACTAGCGCCGGGGAAAACTGCTGCCTGGAAACCCTGTGCTTCCTCGGGCCACAGTGATTCTTGTTAACTTTACGTGTTTTCCGACTCCTGCACCTTAGGCGCTTGGGGGCGTCACCTAAGCACTCTGAAGTTAAATTGCAATCGTTCAGAACATCCAGCTCCTTATGTGTAAAATGGGGCTAATCCACCCTATCGGCCATAACTGTGGTGTGGGGAGGATCTAACGATGTAATTTAGGAGAAAGTGCTCTGTAGATTAAACTGTTTATCCACATACAGTGGATGATATTGCTACTATTAGGCAGCAGGGTGTACGTAGTAGGTGGGAGCTTGGCTCAGGAGCCAGGTTATCTGGGTTTTAATCCTAGTTTTTCCCTTTGCTAGATCTCCGGGGAGTTATTGAACATTTCTGTGCTTCAGTGATCTCACTTTCAAATAGGGATTAAAAATAATACCTGATAAAATTGTTTTGGGAGAATAAAAGAGTTGGAATTATAGAGAAGACATCTGGAATACTTTCTGGTGTGGTAAATAAACATTCAACGATAGCTGTTAATATTAAATACTTAGATCATCTCATCTCCTTCCCCATCTACCCATCCTATGCAGTTTACAGTTTAGCCCTTACCCCTTCTCTATTCATAAGTTAACAATTCCTTTTAGGCAAGGGAAATTCACCCACTCACTCCCCATCCCCAAGGCAGTCCATTTATGTCTTAAGATAGTTGGGACAGTAAGAACATTCTCCATGTTATGTAGAAACCTGCCTTTGTGTTGCTTAGACCTAGAGTACCAGTGCTACCCATAGATAGAGCCATAGATAACACATTAGCTACATCTAAGCAGCTTTAATATGAGGAAACATCTGCTGAGCACCCAGTGTTCAGCCAGGCATTCATCAAATAATATAATTTCCAGTTGCCATAGTGGTTTCTCTTTTCTGAATATGTTCTTATCTACCTTAAAGTGGTATCCAAATGCAGAACCTTTGACTTTGAAGACTGCATTTTTCCATTCTGTCTTGCTTATGTACATACCAAAATGCATCGTGCATACCAAAATGGGGGATTTGGAGAAGTAGATAACATGTACCCCACCTTCAAGGTTGTTAAAGTCTGCAGTGTACACCAAATGACTGATTGCAAAGCATTCATATGAAGATTTGTTAAACCATAATAAAACGCAACATGAAGTTGTACATTCTTATTTAACAGATATTCTTTTAATGATTTCCTGGAGTGTATATCACCTATTACCATCTTCCAACTTCTCATGTACTTAGAATTCTTAATTATGTACTTATAGTTGAAGCTAATTACATTATTTATTTATTTTTTTTGAGGCAGTCTCACTCTGTTGCCCAGGCTAGAGTGCCGTGGTGTCAGCCTAGCTCACAGCAACCTCAAACTCCTGGGTTCAAGCAATCCTTCTGCCTCAGCCTCCTGAGTAGCTGGGACTACAGGCATGCGCCACCATGCCCAGCTAATTTTTTTAAATGTATTTTTAGTTGACCAATTCATTTCTTTCTATTTTTAGTAGAGATGGGGTCTCACTCTTGCTCAGGCTGATTTTGAACTCCTGACCTCGAGCGATCCTCCTGCCTCGGCCTCCCAGAGTGCTAGGATTACAGGCGTGAGCCACCCTGCCCGGCCATTAATTTGTTTTTGATTCCTTTAAAACAAGGAAAGTTGCTTCTTGAGGTGTGTTTTGTCTATCATATACTTAATGTAGAAATACATACTAAGTCTTATTAAATGTCTGTGCTCTAGACCTTTGCATTGCAGCTGTAATTAAAGAATGCCACCTGCTCACACTGTTGCTGAAGAGCCAAACCTTAGATGCAGAAGCAGATGTGTTATGTGCAGTCCTCTACAGCAATCACAACAGAATGGGCCACCACAAACCCCATTTGGCCCTCAAACAGGTGAGGAGGAATCCCTGTGTTTAAGACCCAGCAGTTTACTTGAAGATGTAGATCACACTGCCACTTAGTGTTTTGTTATTTATGGAAATCTCAGTAAGTTACTTATGATTTATAGGTCTGTACCCCACAGTTACATGTGGGCTTTTTTTTTTTATTTCCTGAAAGCATTTCAAAAAAGTAGTTTTTGTTAGAAAAGAAGTATGTTTAGATTGATTTTTTTGTCTCCCAGTCTTCTTGTGGATAAATAAAAGTTTCTTTTCATTATATGCAATCAATAATGACAGTGCCTTTGTCCAGTTCAAAGATAGAGTGATTTGATCAAGGCAGAGTGTTGTACATTAATAATCAGCTTCCTAAGCATGATAATAATGCTAAAATTATAAAAAGAACAAAAGTTGTGGCTTATTTATTGTGGGGTACATAATCTATTCAGTAGTATTTTGGAGTAAATAAGTATATATTAATAACAAGTTGTGGTATAAAGTGGTTTTATATGAATTTTAGAACTTTAAGTCAAAATTGGGCACTCCAGCTCAGAGACTAGGGTAAAGCCTCTTAAGCTGGCTTCTTTGTATGCTCATTCATTCATCCACTTTATTAATTCCTCAAAAAAATTTTTTGTTTTTTGAGACAGGGTCTTCCTCTGTCATTCCAGCTAGAGTACAGTGATGTCATCATAGCTCACTGCAACCTCAAACTCCTGGTGTTTGAGGACTCCAGCTGTCCTTCAGCCTCCCAAGTAGCTGGGACTACAGGCATGTGCCACCATGTCTTGCTAATTTGTCTAATTTTGTAGAGGTGGACATCTTGCTCTTGCCCCTGCCTCAGCCTCCCACAGTGCTGGGATTACAGGTGTGAGCCACTTTGCCTGGCATCTGCAAGTGTTTTTTAGAATTCTGGTGGGCTATCCATTGTGTAACAGAGCCAGCTTGCAGTATTTTTTAACTTTCTCTGTGCTAGCCAGTGTGCTTAGTTCTGCCAGGGGTGAAAAAAAGTCTCTAATCTTATAGACAGGTACTTTCTAGTTAATTTCTACCCCTGTTACTTAAGGCAAAAAGGATGAAGATTTCTTAATCAAAGAAAGATCTGGGATTGTGGTCTTGTCTCCTAGTTTTTATCTCCTTATAAGTCTTTTAATCCAAAAGCAAATTTGATAATTCTGAGACTGAATGTATTTCTCCTCCTGCTTGCAGGTTGTGAATAATCACCCAGTCAAAAAAATATGGTATTCTCTTGTCTCTGTTTCTTCCTTTTATGTAGCTCTTCCGTCTAGTCAATCTATAAGTTAGAACTTCCTCTGCATCTGGTCTCTTCAGTTGTGGGTGTCATTTTCTTTTTTTAGACCTTGTCAACTTTTAGTTGTCTTACTGTCCTAACTTATGTTTCCTCCTCCAGTCCCTACACTCTGGCATAGTATATATACCAAAAGCAAGTTAATCATCCTAAAACACAATTTTGATTTTTAGTGGTTCTCCATTGTGTTCTGAATAAAGACTAAACTCCTTAGTTTAACTTACAAGGTCAACTATGATCTGGCTTCTTCATTTTTGTTAGCTCTGGCTTTTCTCTTGCCTTCAGATATCTTATATTCCAGTCAACCTGAACTCTTAACGAATTTACATACTCACTGTGTTTGTTCCTTCTTCTGAGTCTTTGCTCATCCGGTCCTGTATGTGTAGAATACCCAGCCTTTTCATGTCTGCCTGTTAAAGGCCTTCTCCATACTCTAAGTATCATTTGAAGCCTTCCCAGCAGTGATAATCTTTTTCTTTCCAAAGTATAACATGAGTGTATGTTATGATAATCTCATTTTAAGTTGCATTTTTCTGATTATTAGTGAAGTTGAATTGCTTTTTTTAATTTTTGGGCTACTTGGGCCCGTCTTGTACTTCTTATAGCATTGAATATGTCAGTTGTGGTACAGTTATTTGTTGTGGATGTGTTTTATGTTCCCTGTGACCAGTTAGGTAGGGAACATGTCTCATGCTGCTCTAGCTGCTGCAGCTGCTATTACCTTTACTACTACTGTCTTATATCTGCTTAACATTTCACAGTTTACAGAGAACTTTCATGTACTTCAAGATTTATTTTTTCTGCATTCCAAAGCCAGTTACTAGAATTAGCCTGTCTCTAATTTTCCCTAAACTGAAGCTCAGAAAATCATCTTGATTCTTCTTGTGTGTGACGATTCTCTGAGTATATGAAAACTGTTCTTATGTTTCTTCATGTCTTCTCTCTTTGCTAATGTTCTCAAGGTTTTTCTCCTCTTTTGTGAACTATGTTTTCCTAATGTTTTACCATCTTGGTTTGTTAATACCTCTCTGAAAGGATGGTTTCCGGACTTAAAAATTGAAAAAGATAGGAGCTGACCCCAGAGAATTTAAGGATTGTTCTGAGAACTATTAATGTAGAATCTGTAACCTTGATTCAATTTTAGTAGTATATATGTAGCTCTGGCAAGATAACCTTGTTGCCAGTATCAGTGACCATCCAGATCTTCATATCCTTCAAAATCTGGGTGCAGTCCTATACACGCCCTTTGTCTGGTATTTTTCAAGAATGGTAGAATTCATACAGCATTTTGTACGATGCATGGCTCTTACTTTTTTTGAAAAAAATTAAATAACACTATTGAGTGCCTACTCAGCACTGTTATAAGAACTGGGTTACAGTGGTAAACAAAATGGATAAAATATTACATATTGTCCTTGTGGAACTTACATTATAGTTAGCAGAGCAAGACAAGCAGTCAGTCAGTGGCAGGTCAGGTAGTGGTAAGTGCTGTGAAGAAAAATAAGGCAGAGAAGGGGGGAGTGCTGAGGGGATTGAAATTTAAATAGGGTCTATCTATTTTTATTTTAGTGTTTAATATTTTGTATAACTTCTTATTTTTACTACTAGATTTTTAGTAATCAGAGATTGGACAGTATCTTATCTATCATTTTATGTTACCTCCCAGCATGCCTTTTATGTAGTAGGTATTCAGTACATATTTGTTCAATGACTTAGGTCATTCACTTTCCTCATCTCTGTGGTACTTACAAACTGTTGAAATTTGGTAGTTAAAAATGTACTATCTTACTGGTTTCACTATTATATCACCTCACATTGTAGCATATAGTGATTTCTCAGTTGTTACCTGATTTGAGAAGTTTAGTTGGATAAATTCCACATTTGTAACCAGAAAGAATTGCATGGGCTTCAGATTTCCTTACCCTTAAAAAGATAAGTAATTATTCTCTGGTATTTGGCATATTTGCATACTTTAAAAATTTGGATCTCTGCTTTCCTGGTCATAATCGGTGACCTTGTCTGCATTGTACAGATGAGTTTGAACCGCTCTTTCTCCTTCAGGTTGAACAATGTTTAAAACGCTTGAAAAACATGAATTTGGAGGATTCAATTCAAGACCTGTCTGAGTTATTTTCTTCTAAGTAAGTGGGCCAGTGGCTTTGTGATGTGCTGGGTTGGGAACTTAATGTCTTCTTGTGATCTCCCTTTGGACTTTCCTATGCTTGGCATTGGAATATGACCAATTACACTTCAGCTGTACAAATTTTGTTGTAATAAGGGGTACCTGATATTTGTGGTAATAATTCTCCCTCCGTTGGTCTATGGGAGGGACTGATGTGACACTGAAATCTGGGTCATGGTAGGTTATATTGAAACGTCAGTAGGTTGTTATTAAACATAACCACTTCAGATTGAGCTTAAAGCAAACCTTTACTTGAAAACCGATATAGATAAGCTTTATATTTAAAAATGAAAGTAATCTACTTTTTTTATGTTTTGTCAAGTGAAAATCAGCCTGTAACTACCAAAGCATGTGTCATCCCCAGCCAGCCAGTGGTGGAGTTTGTATTGATGAAGGTTTTGGGAGCCTGCAAGTTGTTACTCCGCTTGTTGGACTGCTGCTGCAAGGCTTTTCTGTATCCTTAAGTCTACCGAAATACCTTCTTTTCAGTTGGAATCGTTTGGCTATATTTAAAAGTATTTTTGTTTGAAATCTAGGGCTCTATAGCTGTTATGACCTGTAGGAATTCTTAAAATTTTGCTCCGTGGACTCCTTTTGTCAGGAATTGCCTGGTGGAGCCATTATGCCAGAGATTTCCTTTCTCTATCTAGCATGTATCAATATTACCCTAAGAGCACTGACAGCTAGAAATTCTTAATCTTAGAAACTGAATTTAGCTGGGCGTCGTGGCTCACACTTGTAATTCTAGCACTCTGGGAGGCCGAGGCGGGTGGAACGATTGAGGTCAGGAGTTCAAAACCAGCCTGAGCAAGAGGGAGACCCCGTCTGTACTAAAAATAGAAAGAAATTAATTGGCCAACTAAAAATATATAGAAAAAATTAGCCAGGCATGGTGGCACATGCCTTTAGTCTCAGCTACTTGGGAGGCTGAGGTAGAGGATTGCTTGAGCCCAGGAGTTTGAAGTTGCTAGGTTGAGCTAGGCTGATGCCACGGCACTCTGGCCCAGGCAACAGAGTGAGACTGCCTCAAATAAATAAATAAATAAATAAATAAATAAACAAACAAACAAACAAACTAAATTTAGTAACGGGAGCTCTAGCAGAGTGCATATTAGTGTATTTGTAAGTTTCTATTTCTTAAATAGAATATATTTTAAGGCTTTAACACCTTCAAGAGATTCACTTTACTGCCAATTTATTTATTCTTTTGTAATTTTAACTTCCAAAACACATGCTACTTTGGTTTTGTTTTCCCACCTTAAATTGATTCTCCAGCTTGACTGTGAAACATCTAGGTTTGCAGGAGTTCATTATTTTAAACCTTGTGATGATTGGGCTGGTGAGCAGGTTATGGTATGTATATACCTTTAAAATTCTTCATTTCTTTTTCAATTGTCTATCTCAGCCTAGGTTTCTTATGAGTAGTTTTCATATTTGTTTTCTCATGGGTTGCTGAAGGTGTAGGAGTTCCTTTCTTTATTTGATCAGAGTTTATTTGCAGTAGATTTGGAAGCTAAAATGTTAATGGCTATGTCAAAGGATTAGGCTTCATATCTGAATCCATGAGATCAACCCAACATTGAACAACTAAACAAATTAATTCCTAGGATAAGGAATGGATAATAAAAAATTGGTGGCAGTGATCATATTGCAATGGGCTATTTAAAATAATAGCATTCCTGAGCCAGCTATAGCACTTGATTCTTTTTGCCACTTGGTTTCCAATTTTTAGTGGCAATGAGAAATATAATTTTTGACTTTGTTTATGTGCTTTTGACTCTTTTCTTCCACCTGAAATACCACTGCTTTTGGGGGCATATTTACTTGATATAAAGAACACTGGTAATGCTTACAAACTAAACATATTTTTTTGCATGTCTCAGTATATATTGTGAAATTGGTATGATGGATGATTAGATTCAGAGTCTGTATTTGTAAGAAGATCTGTTTTGGGCCATTTCAGACAATTAGGGTCATTAGTTCTAATTTGAATGTAAGGAAACATAAAACAAAAAAGAGAAAAAATGTAGAAAAATTTTTCTGCCTTTGGAGATTAGAAACCTTGATGTCTTAACCTGGATATTTTGAGTACTATTTCTGATCATCTAGCTTTTTATTCTGCCTATTCTTAATCAGAGGTAACAATTTTGAATTACTAATCATATTACTTTAAAATGTTAAATGTTATTTTCTGTAATGAAAATAGCTTTAAATTTTGCTGATGACAAAAATAACATGCTTATTTTAAGAAATTTAAAAAAATATATAGAAAAATGTGAAAGAACCTGAAATTTGCCTAAAATCTCACCATCTAGATAAAAACCACACTTAAGATTTTGATGTGCATACTTTGACACATCTCTCCATGTACTACTTTGTTTTTGAGTAAATTTTGTGTTTGTATTTTTATGTTTGGGCTGGACTATTCTGACTGTTTACAAGTATGTGCTATAGTGTTTATCTGTAGTGGCAAAGGTTGATAGCCATTTATTTTTGAATCTTGTGGTTTATTATTTAATCTGTAAATTGTAATTACTGGATAATTCATGAGCTCTTGTTTCTTTCTCTAGGGTTCTCTATAAAGCTGTTTTAAAAAGGTTGATTTCTTTATATGAGCCATTGTTTGGATTGCTTCAAGAGGTCTCTAGGATTCAACCAATGCCATACTTCAAAGATTTTACCTTCCCTTCTGATATTGCTGAATTTCTAGGACAGCCCTATTTTGAACTCTTTAAGGAAAAAATACCTACAGCTTTTGCAGCTAAAGGAGTGACTAAATTGTTAAATAAATTATTTTTAACAAATGAGCAATCACCAAGGTTCAGTGAAGAAACCTTACTTGGAATTTCCAAAAAAGCTAAACAAATGAAGATCAATGTACAGAATAATACAGATCTTGGACAGCCCATAAAGCGTAAGAAAGTCTTCAAAGGTAGTTTGCTTTGATACTCTAATTTAAAAAAAGAACATAAACTGTTGAAAGTATAATATAATCATGTGCCATGTAGAAAGATATTCAACATCTCCCTTAATTTTAACCCATGTTGATTATTTTTGGAGAGGTGTAGTACTACCTCTGTTTTCTAAGCTTGGGCATTTAAAGTTGTTTGTTTCTGTAGTTGTTTCATTAGTCTTTGCTTGCTTATTCCCATTATTTCTTTTGTAGTAAATTAGCAAGAAATGTCACATACTTAAGAATTTGTTGTAGATTTGAAAATAGTAGGCCTACATTTTTTATCTGTGAATTTTCTACTTCTACAGAGAGATCATCAGAATTTGATGTGAAGACCTTCTGCAAACAGCTGAAACACAAAGTTACTCAGGTTCGTTTTGATGTATTTAATATAGCTTATGATTTCTGCTCATTTGTGGAGGATGCTACTTACCAAGGGCAGGGTCTGAATTTTAGTTCTCTTTTTATCCCTAATTCTAAGCTTAGTGTCTTCTTAGTTCTCAGTCTGTGCTTCTGAATGAAGAGGCAGGGGAATTTTTAATATATTCACTTAATTCAGTTAATAGAATGCCTCATTCTTTTTTTTTCTTTTTGTGTATCTGCCACTTCTCACCACTTCCCAGAAATGTTTTAGTAGGAATTTCTCTAGAATCTTACAGTGACTGCAAGGTTCATCTTGTAGGTCTGGATTGTACCGAAACTTAATTAAGAGGGTGGGCTTTGCTGTCAGATGATTTGAATCCCGACTTTGGTTTGTACTAGCTGTGTGACCTTCTGTGAGTTTCCTGACCTCTCTATATCTCTATTTTGTAATAATAGTATGTACCTCATAGGATTGTGCTGGTTTTAATGCATGTAAAGTGTTCAGCAGAGTTTGGAATACAGTAAGCATTTGTTGTTAATTGTTACTAGTTACTGTCATCATTTTTGCATCATCTCGACATTTGTCATGAGTATGTTCTGTTCCTTTATGCTTGTTGAGGTTCAAACTTTGACATGATTTAAAGCTTTGTAAATTCTGTTTGTTCTGGACCTAACACGAGGTAAGAATGCCAGTGTCACCTGTATTACTCAATAACTTCTTGACTTTTATTATCCTATGTCTTTACAAAATACCTTTCTTCTGGATTCCCTCATGGATTATTTCTTCCCTTCTATTTAAAAATTCTTAATCATTTCTGTGTGAAGTAACTCATGTAATTCTCACGAAAGCTCTGTGAGAGCCAGGTATGATGGCTCATGCTTGTAATCCTAGCACTTAAGGAGGCTGAGGCGGGAAGATCACTTGAGCTCAGGAGTTCCAGCCGAGCCTGAGCAAGAGAGAGACCACATCTCTACTAAAAATAGAAAAAATTAGCTGGGTATGGTGGTGCATGCCTGTAGTCCCAGCTACTTGGGAGGCTGAGGCAGGAGGATCACTTGAGCCCAGGACTTTGAGGTTGCTGTGAGCTAGGCGGATGCCATGGCACTCTAGCCTGGGTGACAGAGTGATACTCTGTCCCCTTCCCCCACCCCAAAAAGAAAAAAGCTCTACGAGGAAGGTGCTCTTATTACTGTTTTCATATTTCACATGAGAAAATTGAGGCATAAAAAAAGCCAAGAAACTTGCCCAAGCCACACAGTGAGTAAGCGGCAGAGCTGGGATTTGAATGCAGGCAGTTTGGTTTTTGACCAATCCCTGAGATAGTTTTTTCAGGGAGAACTGTGGAGCTTTGTGAACCTTGACACTTCTGTAGCCTTTACACCTGTTCGCAGGTGAGCTGGTTTTGAAGCTGGTGTTGAAGTTGATTGGTCAGCATCTTTCTTATTCAAGGTTAATCACTACCATGTTTTTAGCAATTAGTACTAATACGCTCAGCTTGCTTTTAGGGCAACTAACTTTAGCGATCACCAAACTATTGATGGGCGTCTACTATTATGTTTTCTACTTCTTTTTAAAGTACATTTTGAATGTGAGAAATTTGGGAAAAGGTAAGCTTTGAAGGAGGATAGAAGCAGACCTTGTAGATAGCATATTTTCATAAAGAAATAGTAAAAGCTAGTAAAATCCAAACTTGTTATAGAAAGAAGGCCTTGAAGAAATAAAGGTGCCTTGTCAGAAGATAGTTATAGAATTGGAAATGTTGCTCAGCTAAGCATTTTTAACATGTGTTCAGCAATCATTAACTGATTAATGGGTCTACTGCTGGGTGATTTACAAGGCCCTATATCCTTCCTGTGATATTTATGACTCATTTTTGATGAGGTTTGCTCAGGGTATAGAAATAAATGAAAAACAAGTTGTGGTGGTCTAGTGGTGTAGAGGAGAAAGATCTGTCAGTGATTCCCTCCCCCCTCATTAGGCTTTGACTAATATTTAATCAGGTGTTTTATTCTTGTTAGATATGTCTGTTAGAATATTTATGTTGTTTCCTGTGTCAGTCTAATTCAACTGCAGATGGGACCTGACTTAGTACAGAGGGGGGAAACCAACTTTTGTTAGGAACAGTGGATTAAAAATTATTTATTAAGACAAAAGCAAAGCTCTGAGCAAAAAACTTTTCCTTCTTTTAAAAAGACTAATAATTTTAAAATTTTGATTGTGAGCCGGTTTTCTCTGTTGTCATACATTTAGAAGTCAGTGACATATTCAATATTTTTTCTCACTTTTTCACATTTCAGGAGACCAGTTTTGAGTTTAAATGTTCTCAGTCCAAACTAAAGACAACCAGACATTCTTCTCAGAAAGTGATAGGAACTCCTCGTGTCAAAAGTTTTGTGCAAAGATTCCGAGAGGCTGAGTCTTTCTTACAACTTTCTGAAGAAATCCAAATGGCAGTTGTTTGGTGCAAGAGCAAAAAACTGAAGGCTCAGGCCACCTTTCTTGGGAACAAACTTCTTAAAAGTAACCGGCTTAAATATGTGGAAGCTCAAGGTAATAGGTAGGTGTATCACAAAAATTATATTCCTTTACTTTTTCTGTTGTCATTTAGGGCAAAAGTATATATATTCAGGTCACCTTTCTTTAAAACGGGATATCCAGCAGCCCTAGGGGGGCTAAAATTGAGATTTACTCAAGCTGTAATTTTATTTGCTGCTTTTATTATAAGGGCAAAGCTCTATCATTGGGAGGAAGAAAATAAACGGAGGTGAATTGGACTCATTCATATATATATACCCTTCACCGTTCTGTTCATCAGCTGTCCATTCAGAAAGCATTAAGAATGTCTGTGGTGCCAGGTGTGGTGGTGCAGGCCTGTAGTCCCAGCCTACCTTGCTACTAAGAAGGCTGAGGCAGGAGGAACTGGAGCCTAGGAGTTCAAATCCGGCCTGGGCAAGGTAGTGAGGCCCCATCCCTTTAAAAAAAAAAAAATATGTCTGTGGTGTGCTGAGCCTAGGATGCAACTGCGAAAGACTGACTTAGTCATCAGAGAGCCCATGCACCAGTGAGAGAGGCCTCAGTACAGCAGGATGAGGGTGTGAGAATAGGAGGAGAAGGTGCCTTCCTCCTGCAAGGCCCACAGCAGACTGCCAGGGTCAAGGGTCAGGTTTACTGTTCGTAGGAACTGGACTCCCCTTGTTTTGAGCTTGTATTCATTTGATTCTTACACTCACAGAACTGTTTAAGGATGGTTATTTTTGCTTGTAAGTCTGTATTGCATGAAGCATTACATGAAATTAGACATTAGACACTTCAGGGCTTTATATTTTTATTGAAAAAAATAACAGATGCTGATGACATAAATGGTTCCTTATTTTCTACCTTCATAGAGGCAGTTACTCTAACTTGTTTTTTATGTATCCTTGTACATGCACCATAATTTCTTATCTATAGTTATAGATCTGTTCAGGGCTTCATAATGGTTACTGTGGATGAACCATTTTAACTGTCAACAATTTGTTAAACATTCTTTTAAAATTTATGGAAGAAATATTCCCGTTTTAGAAAAAAATTTGATGTACAGTGAGGGTTTTGTAACAAGTTTTAATTGATGAAAAACCAAAGGGAAAGTTGTTGAATATTTCTAAGGGATGACTTGTTTGAGGGCTTTTTACACTGGGGTCCCCTAAAGGCCTGTAGCCAGGTAAAAGCACCCTATTCTGGGGATGGGAACTTAGTCTGAGGTGGAGAGAGGTGTTCTGTTTAAAAATGGGTTTAAAGTCAGGGGTAGATGAGGCAGAGATGATAATGATAGGTTGATTAAAGGGTAACAAACCGGTGTTTATTGGTTAAGCCATTATTCTGTACATTCCAAAATACAGTGTTCTTTCATAGTGCCCTGTTTTGCTGTTTCATTAATACATTATATTTGTAGTACACTTTACAACTTAATGTTCTCAAAAACTCTGAGGTAGGCAGTATTATTCCCATTTTATAGATGAGGAAATGCAGGATTTTGCTCAAGATGTTAGAACTGGAGATCTACAACTCAATTCAGGTCTTCTGAGTCCTGTTTTTATTCATTCTGTTTCCATTTCAACTCAGAGGTATACCCACCTTCTCCCCACTTACAAGCTGCTGCATAGTAAGACAAGAAAATGGCTTGGAAACAGATCATGAATTACTTCATTATGATGATCTTCCTCCTCAGGGTTCTTTTATTTATTTAAAAAGGAAGAGGAGGGGGTGGGTGGGGTAAGGAGTACAGAGCTGTACCAGTCTTTTAAAATCTCATTACCAAAAATTAGTGAGGCAATTCAGCAAGGCACTGATGAACCTGTGGCAAGTGTACCCTAATCAGAAGCAAAATACCTAAAACAATCAATTGTTTGAATTTTGGATTTCCAGACTTGATGCCATGATAGGAATCATAATTAGGATAGCTAGCTTAAGGCTGTCAGTTGTCAGTGTATCCATGCCAGAAGCCCTGTCTTCTCATTCTTTTATAAACCCTCTTCCCTTTTCTTTGTTCATTTCCTGTGAACTTAATCAACATTAAGTTGATTGTCCAGTTATGGATTAATACATTCTGGCAGATATTTCCATTCCTGCTATATTATGAACATAGCACGTATGAGGGAAAAGCTCTGGTACTAAAGTATGGAGGTATCGCACCATTCAGCTAGCTAGGCAGTTGTAGGAATTACTTCACTTTGAGAGGAAAAGGGGACACATTTGCCTACAACCTTAATCAGAGAGAAGTGCTCTGAAAATACAGATTTGGGTTGAAACTCCTATTTATTTTTCAATGACTGTACAATTGTACGCAGGTGTAGCACTTGTAAATTGTGTACTTTTCTATTAGAAGTTGGCAAAAGTGCTTGAGAATGTTTTTCTGCATCTTAATGAGGTCAGATTTTTCCTTTCTCTCTGTCCTTTAAAGTTTGCCAAAGAAACTAGAGTGTATAAAGACATCTATTTGCAACTGCCTTCTTCGTGGCTCAGCTATCAAAACTTCAAAGCATCATCTGAGACAAAGAAGATCACAGAATAAATTTTTACTGAGACAGAGGAAACCACAGAGAAGGTTGCAGTCGACTCTTTTAAAGGAAATTCAGCAGTTCCCTCAAGGGACTCAGAAGAGTGCTACAGATACCAGTGCTAAGTGGAAGCTCTCACACAGTACAGTTCATAGAACTGATCTCTACCCTAATAGTAAGCAACTCTTGAGTAGCAGAATTTCAAGACCTATCACAGAAACTAAGGAGAAACAGATTCATGAAAATCTTACAGGACGCAATAAAGATGAAGCTGATTCATGGACGCTGATGCAAGTGAACAAACACAACAACACATCAGGAACCATTAAGGAGACAGATGACATTGATGATATTTTTGCTTTAGTGGGAGTTTAGATGTTCATATGTGAGACTTAGGTGATTAATCTAGTTCAGTGTTCTACTGTTTTAAGTGGAACCGCTGAGATTTAGTGCCCATTGCACAGAAGTTCATTCCAGTTCAATAAATATTTATATTAGCTTTGTGTCATTTAATCAAGTATTTTTGGACTTCAACTACATGCCTGACATTAAGATGGTAAATCTGCCACAACCTGCCCTTAAGAAGCAGATGTAATTCCTTGAAAAATTGAATACTTTTATGATTTACCAGGGAATTAAGACCTGAATAATTAAGTCTGTAAAAACCGCTGTGCTTTTTAAGATAAATGGCTGGTAGTGGGGAATAGCAAGAAAACACCTGAAAGGGCACTTTGGCCTCATTGGCTCCATTGTAGATGTCCACCTCTGAATACCATTGTTTGTAGCTTCTGATGGTGGTGCTGTCTTACGTATTAGAACTGATCATCAAAGGGACTCACAAGTTTTGTCACTAATTGTATTATCAAGGACTGGTCATGACCATTGTTTCTCTTCATTTGTTCACCTTATCTCATAGGAGGACATATTAAAATGCTTTTGGAGTTTTCCAAGAGGTTTTTATTTAGTTTGTTGGGGGGCCAGTGATTGATTCCAAATAAACCTTTTTCCAAAAAGGATATAAGGTGGTCTATGGTTACATATGAAATACAATAGGATAACACAGGTAGGTGAGAAAGTAAAATGAAAAAAATAAGGTTAGGAGACACAAAATAGACCCAGGAATAGGGCAAATACATAGATTTATAATTTGGTGCTGATGGCACAGTCTGATAATTGGACGTTGCTAATGATTACTCTGAGGGGGTAAATCTGTGTATTTTCAAGTAATGATGTAAAGTTTGAGGTCTCAAATTTCAGATGTTCTAACTTTACTAGAATTAAGTCAATACATTTCTATAAAAGTCTTGAGTTTTATGTTGTTTCATACAGATTTACAGAAAAAGAAAACAGTACCCTACTACATATTGCATCCTTCTTTTCCTTGGTCATCCTGTCGTTTTCTGTATATCCTCTCCATTCTTTATCTGGCTTTATCCTTTCTCTGTCTGCTTTCTGTATTTTCCCAGTTATCTATACCAGTGGTTCTCAAACTTTAGACTTTTTGAGAATCATTTGGTGGGTTGTTTAAAAATACAGATTCCCAGTCCCTTACCAGGGACTGATAAACATAGACCAGAAGTCTGCATTTTTAACAAGGAGCCCGGGTGATTTTGATGCCAGTGGCCCAAAATCCAGTTATATAAACAAACACTGGTTTAGCTCCTCTCCTGAAACCTTGTTAAACATCCATGTTTAATTCAAAGTTCTTAATCTCTAGTCACTTTTCATATTCCTTCTGCTTTCCTACCAAGTGGGAGGAGCCACTTAGTGCCTTAAAACATGGAAAATACCAAGGAGATTTCAGTCTTAACAAGTCTAGAAATAGCCATCAACTTCTAAGTGGCCTTTTGTTCAATGTATTCCCTTTACATACATACTGGGAAATGAAGGTAAATTAATAAGAGAACTGGTGTGGTATATTTTTTGACTATAAGGCTTGGTTTATTTCCTGGGAGTTGTCCATATTCATGGACCCACTCCCAAGTAGCCTCTATCCTGTAAGACTTCATGTCCCAGTTTCTGATTCAGGGGAAAAAAAGAAAGGTCTCTGGGAGTTAGGATATTTAAGGTGCAGTCCCAGTCTTGCTTCTGCTTCTATTTGCACGACTTCACTGAGCTAGTCAGTTTCCCTGGACTTAGGTTTCTGCATCTGAAGAGGCATTGTCATTCATGAATCATAAATTTTTATAGTTGAAAGAAGCTTTGGAGAGTGTATCTCATTAGAAGTGAGTTAAGTAGGTAGAACTATAAAGCCTGTATTAAACTATCAACTTTGCATTTTTTCTATTTTATTAATGTTCCTTTGGTAAGTATATTCATCTCCTTTTCCTGTCTCCTGCCCCTCACAATTCTGGGAAAACAGTAAAAAGCTTCACGTGTCCACCAAATGATATTTAAATATTAATAAGGAATGTAATATCAGTTACTTTTTCAAATAACTTCGATTCAGATGTTTTAAATTTTTAAAAACAAAATCTAAAATATACCAAACCATAACAGTAAATGAAATTAGAAACTTCAGGGTACTCAGGTCATTTATAAGAGCAGTGTCTCAGATCTCCTGTGTGTCACTTCAAATCCTCTTGCTCTTCTTAGTCGCTGCTGTGGTAACCAGTTTTGAGCAGGGCTGGGCCTCGCCTCCTGCTCTGCTTCTAGGCTTCTACCCAGCAGCAGGAACTGCTTGGCACTGGGTGTGTGCACCTCTTCCAGGTGTGGAGCTGCCCCCTCCCCTCCTCAAAGAAATTTAAAGGCACATTCCATAAGGTTTCTCAGAAGTTCCCTCAAGACCCAGCCCTAGAGCCTATGTTTTGTTCAACTAATACATCGTTCATAGCCTTTCCTCCCTTCTCTTTCACTTCACCACTCCTATTCCTTGGGATCACTGCCCAAACAAACTAACATATGTAAACGCTTTTGTCTCAGGCTCTGCTTTTAGGAGAATCAAGGCTAAGACAAGGCAGGCATGGTGGCTCATGCCTGTAATCCTAGCACTCTGTGAGGCTGAGGTGGGAGGATTGCTCAAGGTCAGAAGTTTGAGACCAGCCTGAGCAAGAGTAAGACCCTGTCTCTACTAAAAATAGAAAAATATTAGCTGGGTGTTGTGGTGTGCGCCTGTAGTCCCAGCTACTTGGGAGGCTCAGGCAAGTTTGAGGTTGCTATGAACGACCTAGGGAGATGTCACAGCACTCTAGTCCAGGTGACAGAGTGAGAGACTAAAAAAAAGCCACAAAGGTGGCTTATAGTTTTAATTAATTTTATATCTGACACTATAGCTATAACCTTTTAATATTCAGCCTCATTCAGTGGCATCTTCATGAAAATCTTTTCTATTAACTTTAGTTCAAAGGATTTATTTTTCCATTCTGAATCTTAAATGTATGAAGTCTAAAGTGTCCCACCAACTTTTTTCTCTTGCTCTTTGCAAATCAGTTTTCTCACTTAAAGCTAGTTTTTGTTTTTTACTTTTCACTGGAGAAAATGTTATTTCCCCCATGACAGGATGTTTCCTTTGATAGGTCTACCCGTGCATCTTGCTGTATTCTTTGGTTGGTTTGGCTTTACAACTATGCAGCTGTCCTTCTCACATAGATTACCACATGTAATACCACTTTAATAGCTTGCGAGGTTACGTTTACAAATAAGTTTAGAGAATTCAAGTATGTGTCCAACGTTCAATACATAATAAATATCAGAACTGGAACCTGAATCTGGTCTTTTGGGTGTTTCCAACGTGGACTGACAAATTTTATCAAGAAGATAATCCAATAAGGTCTCAAGAAAAAAAGATTAATTATAGGAATACATAGGAGCATTTATCCTTTACCTTATCAATGCTTAACAGAGAAGCAGCCCTCTTCACTTAGTCCATTTTCATATGTTAAAAAAATTCAGAATAGATAAATTTTCTTTAAAAGACAAAAGCCCAATAATTAACACAACAAACCTTCTCTACATAGTAGTAACAGGTTTTCATTTTATGGACTTCTATATGCTCTTGCTTGTCAATTTGTTAAAACAGGAAAATCAACTAGTGTCTGTCCTAAGGAACAGCTAAGTCAATTATTTATAAACTTTCTTGTCCCCAGGCACAAATTTCATTCTTGCTTTGGGAAGGTGCAAATTTTAAATCTGAAGTGAGCATCCTGGAAGTTACAGATATATAACATTTAAAACAATGTTGAAATTCTTCTAGGTATTTAACTCCAGTTGGCATAAATAATTTTTCTGCGTCTTTGGCTAAACCGGGAGCCCCATTAGTCAAGATTTCCTGTTATATTTGCTATAAAGCATCTCAATAGATGGATTCCAGAATAGGTCACAGCACTGTGAAAAGAAAAATAAATTTCTTAAAAAAATTATTTACAAATTCTTATGCTTCCATGTATGAAGTAGAATGTCTTTTAACCTGTTCTACCTTTCCTATCTTCCTCTAGCCTTTTCTTGCAGGATTCTAAAATCTGATGGTTTATATTACCTGATCTATTTCCTTCATGATTCTATAAATACAAATTTTATCTTTTATTTTGCTTTGTTTTCCGTAAGTCTTGATCTATTTAGTTTGTTCTTTTTATGACAAAAATTTAATTACCTTGATAATTTAGACCTTTTTTCAGGTTTTTAAAAAATCTATCACCATTATTGTATTTACTATTTATCTATCTTTCTTCCAATATGCAACCATCCATCCAACCAACCATCCATCTGTCCGTAAGGAGACGGCCACTGGTTTTTCAGGCATGGATATACTACAGATTTATTTATAGGTAAAATACTATTTGCTATATTGCTAATTATCTTCTTGATGAAGTATATAGCATTTTTGACTTTGATCAAGCTGCCTGCCTGAGAATTGTACATCATGATTCTTGGGTTATAACTGAAGTTAAACACATATAATTTAAAGATACAAGTTGGACAGTTCACACACTACATATAGCATCTTGAACTCATTTGCAACATTTTTGTCAACTTTTATAATTTTCTCTGTCCTAAGAGTGAGTTCTTAACTGCTTGGAATTTCACTACGTAGAACACCACAGAACCAATTATATTGTGCCTACTCATATATTTCTTCCATACTACTTATAAAAATAGACTGATCCTAGCACAATTTATACTTCTCTGCTCTTCTGGGGCAGAGTTCAGACATGAAAATTAGCACTCAACTTTGGCCCATAGGCTTACAGGCCAAACCTCACACGACTACAGGTCTACTCTACACTTCACCTTTCTCCTACCAAGAGCATAAGATAAGAGAAGGAGATAAAGCCTGACTTATTTTATAATAACCATTTTGTGAATAGGCCAAATTCCCTTCTGGAGGGATGGCCTGGGGCTTGGTTATACAGCAAGAAGTATATATGACTGTATGACTGTGCTTGCTGCATTGGGTTTTGAGAGCTGAGAGTACAGCCTGCCAACTTCCTATATATAGTCACTGGTATAGTGAATGTTGAAGGTCTTGCGGGCCAGTTCGCTCCCATTGTCTCAATTCTTAGAATTTGAGTGCTATGTAGCCTTCTGCAGTGCCTTGGTCACTGCCAGCAGTGATTCCAGGGTCGTATAACAGGAAGGGCTGGCATATCTAAGAAAGGAAATGCCTCTAAAAATTACCAGGAATCTGATAAACTGGGTCATGGGCCTGACTCTACCATTTACTGAGTCTCTGACCTTTGGCAAGTAAAGAAACTAACATTATTATGGGTCTAATGGGTATACCAGTCACAATACATTTTATTTAATCCTTTTAATGACCACATTTTTACCAGTGAGGAAACAGGCTCAAAGAAAATGAAATAAATTGTTTTAAATTCAGTAGCCAGGAAGTAGAAGAACCATGTAAAACCAAAACCTCTCTGCAACTCACTTAACTTCTCTGACTTGTAACCTTATCTGAGAAATAGGAACGTTACTGTCAAGATTACTGTGTTTCCCTGAAAATAAGACCTACCCATCAAATAAGCCCTAGCAGGATTTCTAAACATTTGCGCAATATAAGCCCTACCCAGAAAATAAGACCTAGTGATGGGCGTGGCTACGCAGCGTATCTGCACAACCCATGTGTTTCCTCGCAGAGCGGTAAAGAATACAGCAGCCCTTCTCATCTGCCCCATCGTGACAGCTACTATCCCAGAGGTGACAGGAAAGATGCAGGCAGCCCCACCAAGGTTGGCTCCCCGTCAGGTCCCGGCCATCCTGTGCGTGCTGCAAGCTGAGGCTTTGAGGGGAAAATAACACATCCCCTGAAAATAAGCCCTAGAGTGTCTTCTTGAGGAAAAATAAATATACGACCCTGTCTTATTTTCAGGGAAACACGGTAATTGTTTTGAATGATCTAGTGACAGAACCTCTCCCAAATCCATCAAATAGCTCTAGTTGTTCTTACTGTCAAACCACAATCCGATTGGAATGATCATTCCCTTGTTTGAACACCATAATTCCATGAACGTAGCCCAAGAAAACACTGTCAGTTTTTCCCCAGCCACATTATACTGTTAATTCAAACTTAGCTTATAGCCAATTAAAGCTTAAATTTTTTTTCAACAAATGCTGCTGTTAAGCCATGACTTGCCCATCTATGTTTCTGTTGTTGAAGTCTCACTTCCTTCTTATTAAACAGTTAAAAGAAATAGCTATTTTTATATGACAATGCTCAGGACTCAAAGAATTAGGATTTCACTCCCATCCCTAGGAGTTCTCATTGCATATATGAGACAAAGACAAATGAACAGGATAAATACTTGAATGTAAATCAAAGGAGAAGAGCATTTTGTAGGAATGAAGGAGGGATTCTGACAGGCATGTTCATAATTACAATTTAAATCTGATCGAGATTGGTAGGACTTAAAATGACAGCTTAGGGAACAGTTTCATAATTAACAAAGTGTCACTTGGTTTCATTATTTTCTCATAGCAACTAGCATAGTACCTTCCACAATGAAGTCAGAGTAAGAAATTCAGAGAGTGGCACTGTATCTCTGCCATAGTACACATTACTCACTTACCCAAGATATACAATGAAATTACAAACCCATGCTTTGTCACTAAACCACATCATAATGTCTCAAAAAATCACCAGCTCAGAAAATAATCATTCTGTCTGCCAGCAATATTTAATCCAACTTATGTGAAACGTGGTTTTTTCCTCTATGGCCCTTTTAAAGGAAAATTATGGTCCTTTTAAAAGAAAATTCTTATCCCTCAAAGCCTGAATGAGCTTTCTACTATAAAGATAAGTTATTTTTCTTTGAACTTAAGAAAGGATGGTAGCATTTTTACTGTGGCTGTTTAGCTGATTTTAAAAAATACCAAGTTTTCACTTCTGCTGTGGTCTAGGGTTGAGCTAGGATGAAGCAGACAGAAAATGAAGTGCCTTCAAGAAACAGTAGAAGGAAGAAAGAATAAAGGGGAAAAAATAAAAGTGCTAACAGGTTATACCAACAATTCATGGCTAAATGTAGTCTTCCAAGAAGCCTCTAATTTTAAGTGACACTTCAATTTAAGAAACACTGATTTAATTACGTAGTTTTTAGTACTTAAATTACAAGTACATTAATACTTATAATACATTATATTAGTACACTAGTATATTAATTACAAGTTTTTAGTACATAAAATTATAAAAATTCAACTCTTACCTTACAGGAAACAATTGAGGAAAACATCCTTGTGTTTGTGTGTTAACAAATTTCTGTATCTGAAGCACTTGTTTTAAAAGTTGTCCCTTGGAAGATTTGTCAATTTTTGTTAATACCATCTATAAGAAAACAAATTTTTAACTATGGGAAATAAAGTAGTTCTTAATACACAGTTTTACATATTTTAGCTACAATTTTTAAAAATTATTTTTATTTTTTATTTTAGCATATTATGGAGTACAAATGTTTAGGTTACTTATATAGCTTTTGCCCCATCTGAGTCAGAGCTTCAAGAGTGTCCATCCCCCAGACGGTGTGCACCGCACCCATTAGGTGTGAATATACCCATCCCCTCCCTCCGCTTAACCTGCCCAACGTCTGATGAATGTTACTACTAAATGGGCACATAAGTGTTGATCAGTTAATACCAATTTGATGGTGAGTACATGTGGTGCTTGTTTTTCCATTTTTGTGATATTTCATTAAGTAGAATGGGCTTCAGCCCTATGGCTACGATTTTTCATTAAAACTAGGTGACCTGTACAAATTTCTTAATCTCTCTGTTCCTATTTTCTCAGCTATAAAATAAAAACAATACCCCATATAGGAGTGGCTGTGAAGACTAAATGAATTAATATGTGCAACATACAAAGTATACACTATATGTTTGCTATTTAATAGTGCTTTAACTACATAGAGCCACAATATATTGATTTAAGATCAATAAGAAGGACCGTGTAGTCATATTTGCAATTGTGGTAAGCTAAATGTTTCATATGATCATAATATACTCGGTGTTTTAAGACAGGAGTCTCCAGCCTATGGTGAGTAGTATAATTATTTCATTATATATTACAATGTCATAATAATAGAAATAAAGTACAATAAATGTAATGTGCTTGAATCATCCCAAAACCATTCCACCATCCTTCCTGCTCCCCATACATGGAAAAATTGTCTTCTATGAAAATGGTCCCTGGTGCCAAAAAAGGTTGGTGACCGCTGGTTTAAGATATATAAATGAGTATGATTATTAGGTTGATCTATATAAAATTGACAATTTATAATCATTTTTTGATTATAACCTACAAAATGGTTCAGCTTTATATGTAATACTCTAAAGGAAAAATTAGAAATCGGGCTATTTGTAGGTTGTATCTACTATAGTTGTATTCCAAGTAAGTCTACAATTTTACTTGTCCAAAGACAACTACATAGTAGAGGAAGGTCAAGGCATGGATGATTACAAATCGATTAAAATAATACCTTAATCCATCAGGTTTTCTGGGGGAATTTCTGTAAAATTAAACTTCCTGACAAATCATTTCTGCTTTTTAGTCATAAAAGATGCTAATCGCGGAAAGAGTAAGAAGCAGAAAATATGTGGTTGCTAATGGCCAATGTTTTCTCATAAAGGCAAACGTGCTGATATTTAAAAGGAAATACAGAAATAATTCATCTATTCCAATTCCTTTTCCTTTTATTTATTTATTTTTAAAAATTTATGCACTTAATTTTAATTTAATTTCTTTTATTATTTTTTGAGCAATATTGAATCCTATCCAATTCCTTTTCCAAAGAAGAAAGTAATATTTCCTTTCAGTTAAAACTGAGGAAAATATATGATTTTAGAAACCAGAATCTGTGATACCAAATCAGGAATAGTATCATTTAGTTTGGCAACATTTAGGCATTTTTACTATGTATACTAGCAATGCTCTTGACTTCTCATAACTGTAAGTTATCTCTAATGCTTCACAGGCCTTGTAAACCCCCAAAATTCTGTAAGCCTGATAAAATAAAAGTGGCTGACTATTAAATTCCACTGTTATATATTAGTAGTTTTCTGACATTTTTTTGAAACCAAATTATAGTCATTGGATTCTTCACTTTTCTTTGGAAAGGAACATTACAAGTGCTATTTTATCTGCTAGTATCACAATGCAAAATTAATGTGGATACCAACCTACCAATCTGTATTCTATTCTAGGTCAAAAGATGGAAAGAATACTGGTAAGATATTTCTAAAAGAAATTTTGTTTTCTTTAAGAATATAAAAATCCTACTTGAGTGTATTAGAGGCTGCTACATTCTCTAGAATGATTTTTAAATTCCAAATTAGTTAAGCAAATTTTTTAGTTGCAGTTTTATTCACATTCTGATAAGTAGTATCTGCCAACCTGCTATTAAAGTGCTACTAACTTGTTTTGGACAAATGTTTTTATGCCATAAAAAGAAAAAAAATATGAAAAAGAAAATCATATAGGAACATTAAATAAACAACTTCAAAAAACTTTGACTATAATTTTAAAACCTTAAAGCTAAGAGAAGGAAAAGAGAATAAAACTGCCAGAGAACTTATTTTAATATTAATGGCTGACTAGCCAATTGAAAAGATTATTCAAAAGCACTCTCCTCTATCTTTTGAGGAGACAAGACAAGCTCAATCATTAGACAAAAGGAGTGTGGACATGAGATTCACACAGAACTGGTATTTCTAATTGCAACCATGATTCAAAGCAAACACTTACCACATAAGGTAATGCAAATTCTTCACACATTTCTATGGCAATATTGTCTGTGTTTTGAATTCCAACAACACTGTCCACTAATAAAAATGTTCTCTTCAAACTATAAGGTAGAAATGAAGATTAATGGCAATATAAGATATACTCATTCATTATCTCTCTCCCCCCACTATACTAAGAAATTTTCCTTTGAATGTTTCTCAATCTAAGATTTACACACATTTCTTTAGACAAAAGGAATTTTCAATTCATCAGGAAGTTCACTCTACAGTCTAATAGGTCTCAATGCTGTTTACTTTCAATAATGAAATTCACAAAATATTAATTTATTTCAATAAGCATATATTGAATATAAGACACTCTGCCTGGGACTTGATACAAAATGAGTGAACCCCTTCCTCTAAAAGCTTAAAATCTGGTGGGAGAGATACAAATCCAATTACCTACAAGTTATCACAGAAATGTTTAATGTTTTAATATTACTTTAAGACTAACAGATAATGGAAACCAGACACATTATATTTTCCATTTTCTTATGTAAAGATTTCATTTTAGTTTCTAGGTTAAGCTACAGCAAACAACCTTTTTCCTATACTTCAAAAGATTTACATTATTTTTCTATATATTGTGCAATTATTGAAACATAGAACTGTCACTTGACCACATATGGGGACAAAACAAAAACTAACATTTTCAGAGGATGTGATATCTGAGGTATTTTAAGAATGATAAGAATTTACTTTATTTAAATCTAGTAAATACCACATTAACCAACAATTTTCATTTTCAAAATTAGCCAGTTAAGAGTTTGGTTTTAAAAAAATTAATGAACTAACTCTTAAGTACTCTTTCAATTCAATTTCAATTTAGGAAAACACTTGAATTTAAGATTGAGCTAACGTACAGGCAGAAAACAAATGAGCAATACATACCTTGGTTCTAAATATTGTATTGTAGAATATTATGAGAATAAAATGGGCCTTTTAAAGTAAGTCATTTTATAAAACCAAAGTGTTTATCATGTGTAGAATATTCTACTGATGAAAACATGCTTTAAGGTTAAATGTATAATTATTACAAGAAAATTTTTTCCTTACTTTGTTCGTTCTTTCAGATAGACCTCTACCATGTCAACAAAATCTTTAGGCGATCTATAGCCATAACCTGGCATGTCCACCAATGTAAAATGTTTTCCAACTCTGAAAAAATTCATTTTCTTTGTGTGTCCCTGATAAAGTAAATTGAAAAACAAAAGCTATCTTAAAATATATCTTTCATATATTTAATGATTCAAATGTTTCCTATTTAATCAATAAATATTTATTAAAAGCCTAAGTATTATATATAATCTTAACTATGCTGATGATGACACAGGAAAAGAAGACAGAAGTGAGGTAGCTAGAGATAAGCTTAGATCATAGTACTTTTCCCCCCCCAATTCGTTTAATTATACTTCTAATCAATGAAACAATTCTTTTTTTAAAACAGAATTCGTATGACTTAAGAAGAACTTTAGATCCCGTATTAGAAATAGGTAGGAAAAATATTTTGGAGCCTTTCCTATTTCATTAACTCTTGGTGAAAAATACCCTGTTCTAAATTGTTTGACTACCTTAGTCAATATTTTCTGATGAATAATATATTTCCACTTTAAAGAGAAATGACTTACAGTGCTGATAGGTTAAAATGCTTACAATCAGTCATATAGGTTTTCATAAAACCTAGATTCAAAGCCTGATAATTTCTTATGCCTAGGCTACTGCCTCCCTAAAATCTAGATGTTTTACATGTTTTATTAGGTGGGTTATAGTGCTTTCACTAAACAATTTTTAAAGCATGTACAACACTATAATTATAAAATATTTGTGCAACTAAAATTGAGATAAAGATGACAAAAAGTGGTTTATTCATAGTATTGTGTCCACAAGACATTTAATAATCAGAAAAGGAAAAATTAAGATAGGCAATTTAAGAAGTTAGACAATTGTTTGGATCTTGGAACAAATATTATCAGAGAGAAGATTTTTATAAATGGTGATTAAGTTTCCAGTCAGCTTATTTGTCTATCTATAGGAAAATGATTTTAGAATTACAGATTGGGAATGTCAAGAATACATTTTTTTTCATTGCCTTTTTAAAACAGGAAGGGATGCCTCTACCTAGAAGTGTTTATTTGCTGAGGCAGGGCAGGAGTAAGGATGGGAGAGTTAAGAGATGGAAAGAGTCATTAGTGATGGAGCCTGAGAATCAACTATATGAAGAAGTGGGGAACCAAGAAAAGACTAGTGAAGTCTCACAGAAGGGTTCCAAGTCCACGAAAGACACAGGGGAGGTGGTGTGGGTAGTGGGCATTAGGGTTGGTGGAAAGGTTTTACCATGAAGAGATAAGGTGAAGGGAAGTGAGGGTGAGTTTTGAGGAAATGCTATCTTACATACTGGTACAGTATGCATTATTGTGAAGGAAGGAGAGGGAATTAGAAAATGACAGAAAGCAATTATAGCAGACTAGCTGGGATAACACATAATTTGGCCTTAAGTAAACATAATAGGCCTGACTGGTATACGTGTTTGTGTGTATATGTATACGTGTGTGTATATATATATATAAACTAACTTATATACATGTGTATCTTATAAGATAATAAAAGATTATAGGAAGAAAAAAAACCAAAACACTTAAAAGTTGTTTCTCCTAAAGTCAATGTAGAACTAGATGATCTCTCTTATAGAAGGAAATATAGAATGACAATAAAACACTTTATTTAGCAACTCTTTGGAACATTTGGACACAGGAAGATTTCCTCAAGATATTGGCAAGGCTACTAAAATCCAGCCACAGTTCCTTTTCTTCAGAGAAACACACAGGCATTAATGAAATGTTGTACATTATTACTTGTTTGAATGAAATCATTTCTCTAGGAACTTTGCAATTATGATTTCTTGTACCTTCCAACATTCACTATTCACTAAGATGAACAGTCCAGACATATTTAAAAATTTCAACATACCGGTTTTTTGGAGACTCTGACTTCAACCTCAGGGGCCAGTGAAAACAAAGCCTTTATTAGGGAGGATTTTCCAACATTGCTTCTGCCTATAAAACATACCTTATACAAGAAAAAAGATAATTAAGTCCTACTTGAGATATATGTATATGTGTATATATATATGTTAAAGGCTGTATTAGCTGAAAAACTCTCAAACTATTCAGTCTTGCCAAGCCATGTAAAAAGTGGCTTAAGTTTAGTGAAACCTCAAATTCTAACATACAGCTAATTTCAACGTGCCATGTACTGTTTTAGGCATTCAGCATATATTTTCTTATTTATTTTATAACATCCCTATGAAGTAGGTGATAGTATCCCCATTTTACAGATACAAAAACACATAACTGAACCAAAATTATATAGGTAGAAAGTAAAGGAGTTGGGATTTGAATTCAGGACATTTATATCTATTTAATAGAATCTGTGCTTTTAGTTATATTATGGTACTCAAGAATATCTGCAATCTTATTAAGTATTCCACATTCACAAAACTTTTTAAAGTAAAAACGATGTATTTCAACAAAATTTGCTCAGAAGTACAACTACATGGTTGAAAGCACATTTTCTCAAGAACTCCCACACTTTACTATAACACCATTGCAATTTAAGAGCTTATTTTTTTCTTGACTTCTCTTGTTCGAATTAGGAACATGGAGACTTTTCTCCTCTGTAGTGTAGAAAGCAAGAAAATATTCTTTTTTGTTTTTAAGAAAGCATGCTTACATTTGCTTTTTAAAAATTTATTTGTATAAATTTAAGGGGTATAAGTACAATTTTGTTACAGACATATATTGCATTGTGGTGAAGTCTGGCCTTGTAGTATATCCACCACCCAAACAATGTATTAGACATGGTAGCAATTAAGTAATTTCTCATCATCCCCACTCCCACCAAAATATTCTTGATAATAATCATTAATATACATGGCTCTGCTTTTGAACATGGTATTGAAGGGGGGACAATACCAACCAGCTGTTCTAAAATGAGGGCAGTACTGTCCTTTGGAGGATGTTTTGGAAATCTGTAAGGACATTTTTGGTTATCAACACAATTGGGGGTCATTTCGTGGGCATGGGCCAGGGATGTCAAATATTCTGCAAAAACCTGAGTCAGTCCTTTCGAATGAATTGATCTGAGTGCTGCATAAATTTTAGATGCTCTTCCAGATGAAATCCAATGCTAATATGTAGGTAAAACTGAATTTTAACAAATGAATTACAAAAAGTCCAGTGATTTAGAAGCTTAAATTGAAAAGCAATGCAGTCTCAAAATTATTTACTTTATGTACTTCCTAAGTCCTGAGGACAGTTCTACGCATATTTAGATGAAAAGTTTTAGGGCAATGGTGCAGTTACTGTAAATATATATGGGAATTTTAGCTGCCTTTTAAAAGACTTAGAATAAATATTATTAAACTATAGGACATTCAGGCCAGGCGTGGTGGCTCACGCCTGTAATCCTGTGTATATGTATGTCCTAGGAGGCCCAGGCGGGAGGATCGCTCAAGGTCAGGAGTTTGAAACCAGCCTGAGCAAGACTGAGACCCGTGTCTCGTCTATACTAAAAATAGAAAGAAATTGATTGGCCAACTAAAAATATATAGAAACAATTAGCCTGGCATGGTGGCACATGCCTGTAGTCCCAGCTACTCGGAGGCTGAGGCAGAAGGATTGCTTGAGCCCAGGAGTTTGAGGTTGCTGTAACTAGGCTGACGGCACTCAAGCCTGGGTAACAGAGTGAGACTCTGTCTCAAAAAACAAACAACCTCCCCCCAAAAAAACCCCTGTAGGATATTCATAAAATGCTCATTCATGGAATTTCACTATTAATAATAAAAGTTGTTTTAAAAAAATCTTCCATATTGCCTTCTATAGATAATTACTATTTTGCACATGATACGAAATTGAGATTGCAGAGATCACATATTGATAAGGATCATCTCATTTGTGAACTATTATACGTTTCTTATTCACTGTCTAATGTGTAAATTTGTCTCAGCATGTTTTCCCTCTTCAATTAAATAGGAAAAAAATTATAAAAGGGCAGAGTTATTTAATAATTTTCAGAACGTTTAGTTTGGCTCTTAAAACTTTTAAAGGCCGGTGCGGTGGCTCACGCCTGTAATCCTAGCACTCTGGGAGGCTGAGGGGGGAGGATCACTCGAGCTCAGGAGTTTGAGGTTATTGTGAGCAAGACTGACGCTACGGCACTCTCGCCCAGGCAAGAGAGTGAGACTCTGCCTCAAAAAATAAATAAATCGCTGAAAAGAAAAAAAAAAATCTTTTAAAGTCTTCTCTATTAATCACCCAAATAATTTAAGCTATATAAGGCTCCGCCTTACGAAGGGCAGATCTAATGTTACCCCACCTTACGACGGGCCCACGGGCGGGGCGTGTGCATGCAGACTGAATTTTCGACTTAACTATATTCTCAGTTTGCTGCGCTCGGTTAGGCGACCCCCTGGTAAGTCGAGGAGCATCTGCATATGGCTATTTCGTCAAAATAACATATGCATGCACACACAGCTAGACAATATCTCTCGCTGGGTGATAGGAAATGAGTGGCAGCAAACCCTCGCGCGAGCCTTCGCGACGGAGCGGGGCCGACCGGGCTGCGGCTAGCGCTCCCACACTCGCCACGCGCGGGAGAGCGTGAACAGCCGCAGCTCTCACCTCAGGCCAGGGAAGGTCCGGGGCGTGGTCGAGCCGGACTGCGGAGCTGACGTAATCGATGCGGTTCCGGGCGGTGGCGGTAAAGATGGTGTCCGCCCTCGCGATATTCTCCAGGCTCGGGTCGTAGATCCTCAGGTGAAGGTCGGGCCTCGTGTCCGGGACCAGGTACTGCTCGAGGTCCTGCAGCGGATACACCAGCTTCGTCATCTGCTTCTTCGGCAGCTGTAGCACCTCAGCAAAAGCGTGAGACGTGCTATAAACTCGGCTCAGGCGCCCCCGCACCGCCGACACTTCTAAGAGCCTTCGTGTCGCACGCCCCACCCAGGGCGCAGCCATTCTCCTGTCCTGGAAGCCCGCCACGGGCCCTGGTTCCCAGGATCCGGCTGCGCGTGCGTGAGCCCCGCTGCCGCGACGCCTGCTGGGAGTTGTAGTCTCCGCTGTCGCCGCTCTGTCCTGTGTGGGTGCTGGAGTCCCGTGCGCTGAAGGCTGGCGGAGGCGGGTGTTTTGTTTTTTTTTTTAAACACCCTGTGCTTAACACCTGTGCCTTTGACTAGTACATCGCTGTGGGAGGATGTTAAACGGTTTCCACAGGTGACAGTCCCACCTGGTTATGTGGCCTTGAGTCTCAAGTGAATGCGAAAAAGTGTGAAACTCTGGTGAATTCCCGGCCCGTTTTATCTTCACAATTTCTGCTTGTCTTATAGCTCGTTGACGTTTGTCATACGTCCACGTCACTAGGAAAAGCACCTTCGCAAAAAAGATAAGGGCCGGTGAGAAAAGTGGTTGGCATAGCACCTCGTTTTCAGGGGAGGAACTGTTAGTATTTCAGCCTTCTCTGTCACTGCGGGAAATGTACTTAAACTTTAGCAACTTCTTACAAAAACGGTGTTGCACACGGCTTACAGAATTGTTACACGGAAGTTCTATAACGACATCTTATTTCAGGTTTCTTCTCAATGCCATTTAAGCTAATCGGTGCTGGAATGGGAGATACAGGTATTATATGATGAAGTAAATGACTGAAAAATATTCTTATATAAAAAATGGTAGGTCTTTTCAAACAGCAGCAGCAATCAACAGAGCAATGGTAACTCATGGCCTCTTGATCTATTCCCCAGGTTGTTCAGTAATTAAACAGGGCAATTCTTAAATAAATATGATTCAAAACTATAACGAGCAGAACCAGCAACTTTGAGGGTAGCCAGTACAGCAGCCTGACCTACTTCTGGCAGGCTAATTTGTGATTAATCTTTGCATGAGGCTTTAAGGCTCCCTCCAATCCCTAATTTCACTTCCCTGTAATAAAACACTTTACCGTATACAGCAGAAATCTGGGATACATATATTACTGTGTATATGATATGCTTTGAAAGTGCTTTCATGTGTGCCATTTCGTTTCCAAACATTGGGGCCCCAGGTTTGGAGATAAACCAGCTCATAAAGGACTTTTTGCAATTCTTAGACAGGTTTTGGAGGTATTCAGGGATTAGTAGACTCATAGTACTCATTTTGTAATCCTTAGTGGCTCTGAATTCTACATCATTTTGGATTTCATTTGACAGGACAAATCATTTTAGAATTACTGGACAGTAAAGTTTTTGCAACATAAATTGTCATGTAAAGGTGGGGTGGGAGTCAAACAAATGATCCAAAGGAAATAAATATGACTAGGAAAACCACTTGACTATTTAATCTTTAGTTTTTCTCTTTCATTCCATTTTTTTAAAGCATTGATATAAAAAAGTCATATAAAACTTTAGAGAGATGGTTTGGAGTCAATAATATACTGTTTTTCTTGGACACATGTGATCAAACTCTTCCCTAATTTCCAATGCAGACAGAAGGTCAAAGATGAGACATGCATAGCAGTGAGACCCACTAGTGAGAGCAGGAGAGAGCTAGAATTGTGAGGAATTAGCTTATGACAACTAACCCCATTGTAGAGCTGCAATGAAAATCATAGGGTCTACAGAGAATTATCAAAGTTCAAGAAAATTAGGCCAACTCAATGTTAAAGAGAATCAAGCCCAGTGGATGAGATGTTGCAATAGAACTTTCTGGGTTCTGGCAATAGCATACTAAATCTGGTGTTGGCTGCATCTTGGTTCCAGGTGGTCTGTCTGTATGAAGTAGGACTCTAGCCAGTAGCTGTAGACTGGGAGTCAGGACCTAGTCTCCTAGATCAGGACTAAGTCAAGGCTGAGATTCAGATAGGGTTTTAGTCCTAGTGGGTGTGAAAAAAAGAGGAGTATAGATTAGAAACCCATGCTTTCTAATATGCATCTCTTACTGTGTCCAAAACATAATTTGCATTCTCTCCTAATTTTTTTTTTTTTTTTGCATTCATTACTATCTCAGTAAATGGCAACTCTATTCTTCTTGTTGATCCAGCTGAAACTTTTGGGGACAATTCTTGACTCTTTCTCTTATACTGAACATTCATTCTAATAGCAGTCCTCTTGGCTTTACCATCAAAACATATCCTGAATTTGACACTTTTTAGCACATCTGCTGCTACCACCCTGATCTAAGCCCCATTATCTCCTACCTAGATTATTGCAATAACTTCCAAACTGGTCACCCAACTTTAACCCTTTACCCTCTTCAGTTCATTCTCAAAACAGCCGCAACCATCATCCTGTTAAAATATAAGCTAAAAGCTCCAACAGCTTCCTGTCTCACTCAAAGAAAAGTTGAAGCTCTTGCACTAACTTAAAAGGACCTACCTGATTTTCCTTTTACTTCCCCTACTCTTACTTGCCTGACTTCATCTACTACCATTCTCCTCCTCATTGACTCCATTCCAACCACACTGGTATCTTTGCTGTTTTTCAAATGAGCCATACACGCACTTGTGTCTGAGTCTTTGCACTTCTGCCTGGAATGCTCACCTCAGATAATCACATGGCCTGTTACCAATACCATTTACGATGTGTTTATGACCATCCTTCTGAGAAAAAATGCCTTTTATTTTGATAGTTGAGGAGGTAGCACAGGTCTTACACCACAAAGTTAGCAAGATTTTTGGGTGTCACATACTTTACACATGGTCCTTAGAATCAGCTTTTATTGCTAAAATTCCTCTGACCTAACTGCCATGGTTATACTCTGTCATGTTTAGCTAAGGAGAAAAGAAAGAAGATAGGTAGGAGTGGGATCTTACTATTAGGACTGGATCACCTCATTTGTTCTATCTGTGATGTCTGCTTCTATAATGAATGGCCACTGGGTCCAGAGTGATGCCAATGTATGTCCAAATGTTATAGATATCAGGTTGAGGGAGGGAATGCATCTAAGACACGAAGAAGGCAAGTTTTGCAGGCCTGGATAGGAAGGCAGCATCCAGGACATCAGAGAGTCAGCAACCACAGTACACACCTGATTAGCTCCTATCCTTCAGCAGACATGGTTTGAATGCCCTGACAGAAGCCAGGGACACGAGGAAAATTTACTTCTATGTGTACAGAGAGGTAATGGTTTAGGTCTCAGTGTCCAGTTTATATAAGACCTTTTCCTACGGTCACTTTCTCCATGTTTTAACAATAGTAATGAACATTAATTGAGTGCTTGGTATGCCAGAAATTGATCTGAATAGCAGGGATTAACTATGAAAAAGATCTGGTCACATTGAAATTTAGACCTCAAACTTTGTGTTAGGAAGAAAATACTGGGAAAAGGAAGATGCATTGTATGAAGGAGAGTGAAACCAGAGAAACTTCCACATGTAACTTAAATTGCTTAAATTGTAAAACTACTGTCCAAATGAATGATTTAAATTTAAAACATATTTACTTATATTTCTCTCAAATTTTTTGTGCAACATTTCCTTTAAAATTTGCATTAAATATCACTTAACACAGTACCACAAATTTGTGGAACAGGCAACATGATGCATGACTTCTTCATCTAATTTCTTAATTAAGGTATAGGTTATTATTCTTGAGATTTGTTATTTTGCTATCATTCAAGAACTAACAGAGACATATTTTCCATGATCATCTTCTTTGGAAGACCATCAAACCATTGAGTTTAATTTATATTTCATTAATGTACCTTTAGAGAATATCGGTAACTTCAGGGAGGTTGTTTTTTTTTTTTTCCCAGATAAGTTTTTTGAACTTTCTTTTAAAGTTGTGTCTGTAATACTGACAGATTCTTTAAAGAGATAAATATCAGACAATACTCATGTGTAGGGAGTGAGTTCTTAGAATGATTTGGTCTGGAGAGGAGTAAAGATTCACTTCCCTCAGGGTAGATTTTATTAATAGAGATGGAAAACAATTGCTCTAAGTAGTCTTTTTCACTTTATTTTAAGCGTAGTTTTTTTTCACTGTAGTTGTGCATTTGACTGTCTGCCATATATTGCTATTGAAATATTTTAAAATACTCTTTACCATATTCACTTGTGTTTTTATTAGTAACAAGCTCAGAGTTTTCTTGTTTGGGGGGAAAAAGCATGGATTTTGCTGTGCTGACTGATTAATTCATTAACATTTTAATTCTTATTGCCTATTAGGCAAGGTTATTTTGGTGGGCACATTTACTTTGTGTTATACCTCTAATTTATGTCTCATTGCCTTATTGAAAGTGAGTGGTATGTTCTCTGGCGCCCTGAAGAGCTGAGGCAACATCCCACAGGCAGATATGCCGATATATTCAAATGTTTAACTTATTGGTAGAGTGTGTTAGGTGTCCCTAAGACTAACTTTCAAACTTGGTGATCTAGTAGGAAGATTCACAGGACTCAGCATATAATTGTATTCATGGCTATAGAAAAAGGATACGAGGCAAAATTGGCAAAGGGAAAAGGCACTCAAGGTGAAGTCTGGGGAACCAGGCATAGCATCTGCGTCCTATTCCAGAGGGGTTGCACAGGATGCCCTTAATTCTGGCAGCAATGAGTTCTAACAACACACGTGAAATGTTGTGTACCAGGAAATCTCATCTGAGCCTACAAGTCCAGGGTTTTTATCTAGGGCTGATCATATAGATGCCTAGTGCCTTCGTGACTGACTACAGTCACTGAAATTCTAGATTATCAGCAGGAAAGCAGGTGTTCAGTATAAACCACATTGTTTGTACAAACAGTTTAGATACAGTGAGCCAATCATCATTTAGCGAAAGTTTTCTGTCACTGTGGGGAACTGTTTATCAGTCAAGTTCTCAGATGCTGGCCCAGGGCCAAACTTGTAAACAAGCCTTTCTAAGGATAGTAGTCACAGGCCTGCTATGATCACTTTTCTGTACATAGACTAAAAGGTAAAAATATATATATATTTAAAAATGAGAATTTTCTCATCTGCGTTTGTGAGATTGGATACTTGTATGCTCTAAACATCAATGACTTCTCTGGACATTTTTAGGAAAAGTGAGACAGACCTGCTCTAGTCATTTTGGTAGAACATGGCAAAACTAGAATTCTTTATGTTGAAGAAGGTTTTAGTTACAGCTTCTGCCTCAACTGCCTGCAATGAAACGTGGGGCCTCTAGAGAGCAGTGCAATGAACATTAGTGATGGAACTGGCATAAACTATAGATCTTAGGGTGACTAGATGAGCCCTTGGGGTATTTAGCTGGAGCTAAGTGCAGCAAGGTCCTTGAACATTCTCTCCAACCTCCTTACCCATCCTTCTCAATGGGCTGGACAATCTGTTATAAAAGATGTTTTGTGGTTGCTTTCTAGAAAGGAATAATGATGGGTATAGAGGTATTACATGGTTACCTGATAGGATCTCCTAGGTGGCGGGCACATGAGCGGTTGAGCCCAGAATGCAATGCTAGATGGTCTTCATGCTGCGATGTACCCCTTTCCTGCCTAAACTAATATAAGAAACAGCCTAGACTTTCACTCTCCTCTCCAGGTATCTGTTATTTGCCAAGATGGCTGATTTTACCATGATAGCATGATCTCACAAACTCACATTATGAACCCACAAGCACTATAAGGAAAATAAAAAGAAAATAATTCTAGAAGTAATTGGAGTGAATGGACCTGGTGGACAAAGAGTTTAAAATAAAAATAGTAAATATCCTCAGAGAGATAAGGGACTATATAGCAAATGTGAAATAGGAAGCTTATAAGAAGTACAAATGGAACATATTGGATATGAAATATATTATTGTTCAAGTAAAGATCTCAATGGATGGGTCTAATAGTTGGATAGTAGAATGAATTCAGCCAAAGAACAAAACAGTGAGCTGGATGATTAGGTTGGAGAATATTCCAAGAAAAAATTAGGAAGTGATAAAAAAGTTAAGAGCTGTGGGAGTGAAAAGAAAGAAATTTTAATATCAGTGTTATAGGAAGGAATCACTTGAAATGGAAGGAGGGAAATATTTGAAAAAATAATTACTGAGAAATTTCCAGAATTGAAGAAACTTTGGTTTGGAAAGGCTCATACAACAGACTAGATAATAAAAACCCACCACCTAAACATAGTACACTAACATTTAGGAGGACCAAAGTCAAAAAAACATACTAAAATTTTCCAGAGGACAAAGGCAGATCACCTACAAAGCATCAAGAGTCAAATTTTCTGAATAGTAGCACTGGATGCAGAAAATAATAAAGTAGGATTATTAAAAATTGAAGAAAATGCCAACTTAGAATTTTAGATATTAATTAAAGGAATATATTAATAAAACAAAGAGTCACAAGCATATAAGACTGTACTAAATTTGACACATAAAGATCCTTTTTTAAGTGCATTTGTGGAGGAAGTACTCCAGTAATAGGAGAGATAAATCCAGAAATAAACAATGAGATATGAGAAGTGGGGTAAATAAAAAATTTGGTAAAGTTCACTGTTGACTTAAATAGGCAATGACACAAAAAAAGCACATTCCTATTCTTACAATCCAGATCTAAAACTTCAGTTTAGTCTAGACCAATGCTACTCCAAGTGCCAGTCCATGAATAGTTGCCCATTTGGATATGCTAAGGAGCTTGTGTGGAAATGTAAACCAACATGTGCGTCTTTTGCTGAGAAAGTCTTGCCACAAAAAAAGTCAGCTGGATTAAACTGTTAAACTGTATGCATTGTGACACATTTTACTTACACTGTGGCACGAAACTCTTTCTTTTTGTTCACAAACTATACCAGTTTGTGGACCAGTGCCAGTTCAGGGACCACATTTATAGACACTGCTGTAGATGCTATCCTGGTGGATGTAGGGTGGAGAAGCATAAGGCCATAGGGCATAAGCATGTGATAAGGCATATGTCTTAGTTTTATGATGGAGAGAAGATTTAGATATTGATAAACTTTAAGTTTATAAAAAAAGTACAGTAGAGAGATGAATCTATTAAGTTCAGCTATCCACTATAAGGATAAGATAAGATGTAATCTTAAAATAGAATAAGAAATTGAATTCATCTAATGAAGATAATAGAAAAGGATAAGTGAATAAATAAAAAGTATGGCAAATTGGACAACTGGAAATGAGATGGCTGAAATAACACCTACTATAACAGCAACATAGCAAGTGTAAAGGTGTTAATCAATAAATAACATCTCTCATAACAGTAAAAAACAAAACAAACAAGACAATAAAAATCCAAGATTCAAATCTATTAGATAATTTATATGCTGTGTTTTAATTAAATAAAATATGTAGTCTTTTAACTTCCTCTTCTAAAATTTTATTGGAAGCAGAAAAATGGGGTGAGTCCTGGCCAGGAGGCAGCTGAGGGAATTAATATGAGGGTTATGTTTGAAACATGAGAACCCAGGAGTGGGACAGGACTTTGCCAAAGAGCAACATGTAGACATGTCAGTTCACTGAGCAAAATCTGCTAAACCTTTGGGGACATTACCAATCAGGGATGTCTGCAAACAGATCCCCGCTTTAAAGCCTGAGGCTACAGCCTGGATGTCTGCAAACTGACTGGGCTTGTAATCTGAAGGCAGAGAGAATGATCAAAGGATGTCAGCCCAGCAGATAAGAGCAGATTTCTATTCTAAGCCTGAGGCAATGTTACTATCTCTCTCCTGAGTTCATGTCTCAGTAAATGAGGAACTAGATAAAGTAGAAAGAAGTACATGGTCTCTTTGTTCCCATTTAGATTATATGTTTTACTGATGACTCATGATTTTATCTTTAACTTGTGTATACTTTGCTAGTTTATTGTTACTTTGGGAGATCTTGAAACTTAAACTCACGATATGTACATGTAAATCAGTGACTGATAACAATTGCTTGCTGAAAGAGTAAATGCGGGACTCTACTTGTGGCCTCCTGGCTCATGGGAATGCTGGAGGACCCCTGATTTCCCCATAACTTTAATCTATATGTTGTCTCTGTCTCTTTTATTTCCAGTCTCTTGTGACGTTCTTGTCTGGGACTGAATTTGTTGGGGGAGTTGTGAGCTCCTGGCAGATTAATCTTTAGAATATAAAGAACTTTAGTATGTCACAAAAAAGTATAGTTAGCCTGTATTATTGGGGTTCTTCAGAGAAACAGAAGCGATGGATTTATATAGATATATAGAAAGATTTATTATGAGGGATTGGCTCATGTGATTATGGAGGCTGTGAAGTTCCATTACCTGCCACTGGTAACCTGGTGCTGTGGAGAGTTGGTGTAGTTCTGGTCCAAATTCAAAGGGCTGAGAACCAGGAATACTGATGTCCAAAAGCAGGAGAAGATGGATGTCTCAGCTCAAG